TTGATAACGGAGGCGCTGATGTAGACCACGATTAGGCCGAGCACTGAACCGCAGATTACGTAAATAAACTGCGACCAACCGATCCGTGTCGTCGACTTCACCACCGATAGGATTATTATTAAGATTAGAAACGATAACCAAAACAAGTCCTCCAAACCTGTGGTTTTCATTTACAATCGCATTAGTATTGGGTTTTGATTAGTATATGATTTTATTGATTAATATGAATAAAATTTATGATAATGTTAACTATGGTTGTAATAATCATTTAGTTTTAATTGCTATTACAAGTAGTGTCTAATAAGTACTGTTATCTAAATGAGGTCTTTATGTTTATTTTATAATTTGTTTAAAATTCTAATACTATTTATTACTTAAACAGTAATTATAAGACTGAAAGTAAAACAAATCAATTGATGGCTAAACATTGAAACTGATTGTAAGGTTTGTTATACACTATAATTAAATCTCATTTACAGAAAATGGCTAAAAACCAAAACATATGAACAAATCCTTTGAGGAAACCCTGTGTTGAATAACTGGTATTATTTGTTATTGTAATACAAAACAATTAGCAATGAAATGGGATGTTAGGGGTTGTGCGGGGAGTGTGTAATCAATGAGTGAATGATCGGTATAAATGAATGGTAAAAAGTAGCCACAAATGGATGCGATAGTGAAACATCGGGCTATAAATACCAAAGTTGGCCTTCTTCTTGAAGCACACTTTGAAACACTGGAGGCAGGCGTTGGCCACTTGATTGCCGCCCCCGTCATCATTGTTCTGATCGTCGAGACTGTTCTCCTTATTGATGTCATATTTCATTGTCTTCATAGTATATTCACCAGTAATTAGTAGATTTATATAGATTTCTATCGATAATAACACTTGGTCCGAGACAACCACCTATATCGATTATATATGTTTGTAGACGTGAGCCAAACAATTAGCTAATTCTCGGCCCAAACACCGCATGTATTGTTGTGTTTCTTGTCTTTTCTGACCGTTTTATTCACAGCACAGACACTATCGGAGACAACGATGAAAGATGTGTCCCTATTATACCATTATATTTGTCTCGCGTTTGACCACAACATGATATTTCGCTCACAAATACCCGATATAATCGTCAATAAAGGACATAATTGACTGTATTTAACAAATGTAGTCAAATGTGATCACAATTAATATCGATCGGTGTTTATATCACGGCATATATACACGAGATGTATATATATCTGA